AAAAGGATTACATGACTTTACCAGCATGTTGCTAAGTAGATTAAAAATGACTCGCTCCGTCCCATTCGGTGTTTGTTTAGATAAAAATGCAGCAGGCTGAGGGCGGAAATGCAGAAAAATGAGTTCTCTGTTTGCTGTTTCCACAGAGGCTGCGGCAGATGATCCATCAAAATCTGCCAAGAGACCTAAAAGAGGTAATGCAGGGGTTTTTATATGCTCGTCTAAAACCGCAGTCCTTCAGTGCCACTATATTTTTAGAGCTCCTCCTCTCCTGCCCGAGGCAAGAAGTTGAGTCAGCACTGGGAGGTAACCCGAGTCTTTGTTTTCACAGGTCAGAGGAAAGCGTGCACAGCCAAAGGTGGCAGAAAGCCGAACAGGAGGGCAGAGTCGTCAGAGGAGAGGCGAGTTTGCTGATTTTAGCAAAATAGAAAACACCCATTCAGTAACATATTCATCACAAGTGCATTTACTCATTTTCTCGTCTCACCGTCTCTCTTTGGCTACAGCGATGGAGAAAATGTCCCAGAGTCGGCCTCCATGGTGCGTCCGTCACGGAGGGCCAAGACTGCAGCTCTGGAGAAGACGAAGCTGGACCTCAACCCTCTTATCAACCAGGAGGCCAATGTGTCCTGAATAAAGAGATTTACCTTTCTGTATCGACTCAAGTGTTCAGGCAATGAGTCATATTTACCCTTAAGTTACATTTTTGTTGTTTAAAGTTTTGTCATTTTAATCATTAAATAAATGTATCAAAGTTAACAAAGCTTGTTCTCTTTTTAAAAATTTAGTGCAAACATATCCTGATAACTTTTAACAGGGAAAAAAGCAAATCACCATTTCACACAAGAAGCAAAGACAAAATGTTTCTTTTGTGTTCATGTTTTAATGCCCTGAATAACCATGTGACCTTTCTAGATTCCCTTACCAGTTCCCTCTCTACCAGTACATAATTAAACCATGTTAATCACCACAAATGTGAAGAATTCAGAGAGGTCTGATCTCAATCATTGAACTCTTACAGAATAAAAATGGAAATGGTATTTCAGTTTTGCTTGAAGTTACATACATTTTCTATAAATTCTTAAAGGGAGAGTAACAAGTCAGGTTTTTACGGTAAACAAATAATTATACTGTAAGTAAAGTGTAAGCAATTTTAAGTATTTCATGGTAATTTTATGGTATTAGAATAATGTTTTCCCAGCACGTTGTAAGTATGCTGTACTTTTGGACTGGATTAATCTTGCATTTTTATATATTTATTTACTTTTACATTTTAATTTAATATTCATATTCATGATGGGTGTTTTTTTCCCACCCCCCCTCCCCCCACTCTATAGTAATCATATAGTAGGGATTTAGAACAGTTTATTGTTAATGTATTTCTAAATTGTGTTTGAACTGTAAAAGGAAAAGTAATGAGTTGGACTTAATCACAACAAACTGATAGCCTTTATTGTGGGCCACGAGTGTCAAAATGAATTAAATACCAAATTAAATAATTGTGTTTTAAATGAAATTACATGTAATTAAGTTTAAACAGTTTTAATTTAACAAATTTAATGATGTATTAAATCATTTTGGCACTCAAGGCCCTCCACACCGTATGTTAAATGTGTGGTGTATAGTTATTTGTGGGAACTTTATTTTTGTTTTTTTTCACTTTGTTTTCTATTTACATTAATACATGTAGACACCCTGTAGGGTGTTGCGGGTTCAAATATTGAGGGTGAGCACAAAAACAACAATGGTCCAGGAGAGTCGGTCAAACAATGATTTTTAATGAACACACGCGTGGGGAGATGAACACTGCGCACAGACAGCATCGATCTCCGGCCAGTGATACACAAGTAGTTGTTTTTATAACATCAGGGTATTATTTATGACGCCCCCTCATGCGCCAAAGCAGATACAATACAATAAATGTTGACGACTTTTGACACATTTAAAAGGACATCTTCTCCGTCTCGAGGCCAGGCGCTTCCTGTTAATCTTCTGACTCTCGCTTATCTCCTGGAGCAAACTGTCCCTTAGGCAGACACAATTTTGCAGTCACAAGCTTTTGCAAACTATTATTTGAGCTCTTACCTAGACATGAGTCTAACTACTGTTTGTGTGTGTGTGTATGTGTGTGTCTCGACCTCCAACGCACTCAGCCTCACCCCGCCCGTTGACGCTTCTGGCCTTTTACCAGACAGAAGCTCTCTGTGATAGGTGTAATAATCTTAACTAAGAACATATGTAATCTATTGAATAAATGCTTTGATGAAATGATAATTAATGTAATGGTAATGATGGTTATGAATAGTAGCAGTAAAATATTGCCCTGATCTCCACAACGGTGTTTACAGTGACTGCAAGGATAACCACACTACTGGTTGAAGAACTTATTTACTATGACCCTGGGGTCCGTTCTTCGTACCTCGCTAAGTAAGTTAGCTGGATTAGATTGTTGACGATTTCGCGTGATCCTGGATCGTTCGGTTCCCCGAAGCCCATCCGGGACTTGCTGTCATAGCAACAGATCCGTAAGCGTAAACCTGCTCGGGAGCAGGTTCACTTTATGTAAACAGGATTAGATCGCGGCCACTCAGGTATGTCCGCTTCATGTATACGAAAGCAACAGCGATATTTTACCACTGTTTTACCATAAATAAATATTATCAATGTAACTAAAGATAATGCAGTACTTGATCCTTTTATTGATGTCACACAGATACATACAGGTCATTTCCTAAAAAAGGGAAATGTACTATTAACATTCTATTTCATGTATTTGATTATTTCAGATGTAATTCATATTCTAGAGTAGTAATTGTAAATTACTTCGTGTAATCAAGATGAGAAACCAAGGCTATAAAAGCGAAGGTGGATTTGGGAAGCCTGTCGCAGCCATGTCCTGTCCGTATACGCGACCAACCCATTGCGGAAGGTGCAAGATTGATAAGGAGAGTCCTCAGAATTCAGCGTATATTGCGGGATAGACAGAATCCTTTAGCTCAGCGCGACAGTGTGCTCATAGAGAAATATCGATCTTCCCGTGAGGGTATTATTTACTTAACCAACTTGTTGACGAGGGGGTGCAGGACCACCACCTGTCTTTGTTTTGCTCCGCCCTTTTCTTGGTTGCTGTTATAAACAAACAGATTATTCCAGGGTCTCTTTTCAAGAGACTAAAAGCAATATAAGTGATAAATATTACCATTCTGTAGAATATTCTTATATTTCACTTTTACTTGTTCCCATGTTCTAGTGGCTCCACAACAACAAATGAATGAATAACTCACACCTCTCTCTGGTTATCTCAAAAGACTCTTTATTGGTTCAGTCACAGACACCTGTTTGTTGCATCTGTATTGGACAGTATAAAAACACATGATAAAGAAAATATACAACAGATGTATAGCACCAGGTTCTTCAACAAACAAAGGGCTGATGGTTATTTATCAAATGACAGAGACTTGCCCACCTCCTTTATGTTGAAACGGCAACCATAGTGACATGCATACAACGGTAGTCGGGCACAACACACCCTAAAGGGTGAAGTTTTTGACCTACAGCTGGACACCTTGGATCTGCCGGTCTCTGGACAGATGGCAGAAAAACAATGACATTGATCCAAGATTAGTGTTACCCCATCAACTCTCAGGCCTAGTCCTAGCTGAGCTCCTGTGGAGGTCGGCGTCCCTTGCTGCAACTTAAGAAAATAACAGAAAATCCAGGGAAACAGTGACAACTCAACATTTAAAAAGTAAATAATGCTATTACGTGTAAGAGGAAAAAAAAAAAAATTCTTATATTTTTGTTTCTCTGATGAGACCAACGCAGGTGGGCAAACATAGTTTGTATAGCAGAATCCTTTAAGATCACATTACATGGCTATGGAAACAACTGAAGTAACATCCCAGGCCACTGGTACTCATGTACATCCATTCGTCTGTCAGCAATAAAATAATTACTACATACTGATAAATCATCTGGATTTGTATTGCACCAAACAGATTCTAGTTTTACAGTAAGGGGGGGGGGAGTGGTAGTGGGAGATGGGATGTGCAAAATATGGGAGGAGGAATCTGCGTAGTGGGATTAATCTCAAATATAGAGCCCCTTTCAGACGTGCACTCTTCGCCTTTGATCTGACAGCATGAAAACACGTAGGTTTCATGTGCGAAGGAAGACCCCGGTCACTCTTCTGTGAAAGCCACGACAGCAAAGCTTTTACTAATGTTGAACTTGCAACATTAGTGTATCAACTTCTACACTGCATGCGTCGCATTGCAACTTAAAAGGAACTTGCGAGATTAGGACAGCGACTGTATCGCGTGGACCTGCGAGTTGTTGAGCTCTCAAGTGAAAGACCTGAACAGAAATACCAGGTACACAATGAGATTTTATCTCGCCAACTCTGTTTCGAAACAACAGCAAACATCTCTCTGAGCCTGTGCAGGAGAGGCAGGGTACAGCTCTCTCAGCAGGATACATGCAGTAATGGGTGCGTTCCACTTCCCACGTAGGCAAGTCTGAGTGATGTAAATCGCATCAGCAGATGGTGTGCAAGACATCTGCATGCCTGCCAATTTGCAGTGATGGCATAGACTTGCCCGCTGAGATGCTGCAGTTTACAAACAACATGTGCAGAAAGTAACAGGGAATGCTACTCGTCAGTGGTGTCTGCAGCTACTTATACGTGCAACGCACACGCTTAAGAAAAATACCCTGTTCATAGTGACAACAGCAGAAATTAATAGTTAAACAGCTGGTCAGGGAAAACTCATTTTTCCCCAGTAACTGGTGGTTGCCAACCTGTCTCTAGGATCGTGCCTAAATCTATGAGACAAACGCCCACACCCTCTTCACAGCTCAGTTTTTCAGATGATTTTGTGGTCCCAGTCGTCGGTTTCACATCATACTGAATAAAACGTAAAAATTCTAGTCATTCAAAGTTGGGAGGTCACTGGCTAAATATTTGTGAACAACAAGCGCAAAAAAAAAATAAAAAATAAAAAGAATAAAAAAAATCACAGATTAAATATGAGTAAATTGTGAGAAACAATGTAAAAGCACCCTACGTCTGACTGACAGGATGTCAGCACTTTAACGAAAAGCCAGCGGTGCATATATCACGTCTGAAAGGGGCTCAATAGTGCAAAAAGTCGATCTGACAGCAACATACAGTATATGCTTTGGGTGAAAATAATACGTTCTTAGAAAGATAACTGAATAAAAACAAGAAAGATCCCACAAACCATGAAATTAACCAGAAGCTATGTTCTACAACTGCATAATGCCATTTCTGTCACTTCACAGACACCTCTGCATTTTGTGGGGAATTGACAACTGAAAATGCTCTTGAAAAAGAACTCATGACATCAAATATTTGGTTTTAGTACAGGCCAATTAGTGCATTTCAAGACACACTCTTACAGCTGTGGCCTTTTCACAGATAGCTACTGGAGTTAAGATTGGGTGTTAAGTGAACTGAAAGATTCCTTCATTAAAAGCCTGTTTTGGCTACTTGTTTGCGACAGCAGTAGAGAAAACAAAAGGCTCGGATTAAGAGAAAGTTTCAAATCAAATTCCAATATACTTTAAGCAAACCTAAAATACAAAAGCAAATATTAAATTACAAATTAAACATTCAAAACAGTGCCAAAGTACGAGTCACTATAAATAAAATAAGTGGGGGTTTTAGAGCTGGCATTGTGGCTTAAAGTAGTAAAAATTATGATAAATGTCAGGTTAAGATATACAGTAAGGGCTCATTTCCGAGAAGAAGTGTTGGTCTTAGTATCAGTAAAGGTACATTTTTAGGGAGATGGCAGTCGAGCTTTCATTCCTCTATGACCACTCTGACAGGGTTCACGGTATAAGCACTCTTTCCATTAAAACTCTGAAGTAACTATTATATTGATCTACTATACACCTTCAGAAAGACAAAGGCAAGATGACAAAATGTACATACATATCCATGGATAAAAATAGTGCAACATCAAGCTTTTAAGTTAGACTGCTACATAGCTGCTGATTGTAAGACTGAACCATACTGAGATGGCCAGTCTACGTGGTCAGCACAAAGTCCAAAGGCACCACGTTAAACCACAGTCCCTTTCCCAGGAAGAGGAGGCCTCATGCTTCAGTTAGCTTTCTGTCAGGAAAAGATAAAAGAACAAACGTTTATTGGGTAACTTTTGCATGGGCAAAGTCAATGCCTTCAATTCAAAGAAAAGAAAGAAAAGTAGTTACCAAGGACAAAGTCACGCCATCTCGGCCCAGTCAGGCCCCTCATTCGCGATTGTCTCAAGATTTTCGCTGGTGGTGGTTGTGGTGGTTCAGTAGACGCAACTCTGGGACTCTTGAATTTTCTTTTCTGCCTCCCTGCTGGCTTTGCTTCCTGCTCCTGGACTGATTTTGATGCAGAATCTGCCAACTCTTTCGAGGCAGTCCTCCTATTAATGCTCCTTTTTCTTTCAGTTTTCACAGCTTTAACGAATCTTACCAGTTGCCTGTCCTGTTCTGCAAAGAGGTATGCAGAAGGTGACCCTTCCAGTGTCACAGTACAAGAGTCCCACTCTTCCTCAGCCGATTCGCTATCAGGAGAGTTGATCTTCCTTAGAAACACCCGGCATTCTTTCAGCGTTTCAGGACCCCAGGCTTTGGAGCAAAGGTTCTGCTCTTTGTGTACATCCACGAGTTCCCGAGTTTGGCTAACCGAAGAGGCGGCAGAACCGTTTTCCAAACCAACAGAGTGCCGATCGTTTGTGGATGTGTATAATGCTTTACGTTTAGATTGTAGTCCAGTTACTATACGTTCATTTCTACAACATGATACTGCTTTTATGTTTCTCCTGTCCCTAGCCCCATTTTGCCACCTATCCCTTTCTTTCCGGGTTAGAAAACGTGTCCTTGCTCTAACCAGAGTGGCTTGATATATACTAAATGCTTTGCCTCTCAACGGCTGGACTTGGCGAGTGCGCTTGCTTGCAATGCTTAAAGTAAAAAGTTGTCGTCTGTGTGTTGACACAGCTGCTTTGTTTCTCTTCCTCAGCCGTCTCTGAGCCTTCTGATGCTGTAAAGGGCTTTTTGGCACCATTTTGGCAAACTTCTTGATGTGTTTGCGGAGTCGCTCTGCCTGAGGACTGTGGCAAACACTTTTTGCATTAGCAGAACGAGGGAAGTGCATAAGTTCGTAACGATTACGGGAGCTTGCCTTCTTGACAATGGCCAGAGATTGTGTCTCGGTGGTCTCCATAAACCAGGAGCAGATCTGCTGCATGCTACAGGACCTTGGTTTGTTGGGCGAACAGTCAAACAGTGTTCGGACCACAGAGGAATGATTTGAATTCTTGGCAAATAAACTGCTGTCTTTAGTGCCTAGTTTAGAATCGAGGGCCAATTCTTTTTCTTGGTTGTCCACAGCGTCTGAGACCCAAGTGTCAGAGATGACTCTTATTCGTCTGGCGAGCTCCTGGTTCATTGTCTTTTCCTCAGCTGATGCTGCCCACCACCTTAATGTCTCTTTAGACCTAAAGATCGAATCAACAGATACCCCTGCCAATCTGCTTACGTCTAGAGAAACGCCCTTCTTCTGTGGTCCACATGACTTTCTCTTCTCACCTGAAGTTTCGAAACTACTTTGCTGCTCATCCTGTCTCCTTTCACTGTTTGCCTTGTTTAAAAGAAGTTGTTTAGAGCGTCGTACCAGCGCATTGCTGCGGCTGTATGATGTAGAGGTGGCAACAGCATGCAAAAAGTGTATTGATGGCTTTCTCACTCTCTTGGAGTGTCGTACTACAGGCTGATTGGGGAGTTCATCTTTACTACCATCCTCTGTTTCTTTCCCTTCTTCTTTTTGACCCCTTTTGCTCATTAACTGATGACTGATTGTCCTGGGCTCTTTGGCAGACATGAAGTCTTGTAGAAGTACTTTCCTAGGAGCCAGCATTTCAGGAGACTGCCTATTCTCTTTATTGATTTGAATTTTACGTTGACGAGGTGACACTGTGGTCACTGTGACTGAGATTCCAGAGATTTTAACCTTTGCAGGTCTACCTGGTTTCCTTGAGCGAACAGAATCATCATGCTTTTGACATTTGATGTTACTGCCAGATTGAGGAGCAGGCCTTTTCGCTGGTCTGACAAAATCCAACTCCTCTGAGGTTGTTTTAATACTACCTGAGCTGGTCTTAGAGTTGTGCAATAGATTTACGGCTCGCCAAGCGTCATGAAATTCTGTTTGCAGCTGGTCAAAGCCCTCTGACACCAATCGTTTGTTTCTCCTCGAACGGCCATATACGACTGTTATCTTGAGGTTTTTAGTTGTATTCTCCTCAATATTAGGTGCCAACTGACATTTACCATTTACCATTTTAACATTTTTAGGTTCGGAATCCAAAGTCTTCTGCTTACGGGGTCGGCCAATTGGCCTTTTTGCTTTTTGCTCCAGCTGTGGTCCCAGTTTCTTCGGACGCCCAGGACGCCTTTTTGGTGGAGTGGTTTCATGAAAAGAAGTCGAGTTACCTGATAATCCCTGGCTGTCAGCTCCAGCTACGCGCTTAGTTGGAGTCCCTTCACCTGATCCTCTGGAAGCATCTTTAGGTGATGAGGAAGGGGACCTGGGCAAAGAAGGAGACTTGCGTGGTGAAGAACCGTACTTGGGTGTTGAGGAACCAGATTTGGCGGGTGACAAAGCACACTTGGGTGTTGAAGAACCAGACTTGGATGGTGAATTAGCAGACCTGCGTGTTAAGGAAGCAGATTTGCTTGGTGAGGAAGAGGACTTCGATACTGAAGAATCAGACTTGTATGGTGAATAAAGAGACTTGGGTGTTGAGGAACCAGATTTGGCAGGTGACAAATCACACTTGGGTGTTGAAGAACCAGACCTGCGTGTTGAGGAAACAGACTTGGCTGGTGATGAAGGAGACTTGGGTGTTGAGGAACCAGATTTGGCAGGTGAAGAAGCAGACCTGCGTGCTGAGGAACCAGACTTGGCTGGTGAAGAAGATGACTTGGTTGGGGAACAAGAAGACCGTATGCATGAGGCAGAAGATTTTAGTGGTGAGACAACTGATTTTACTTGTGATATTGCAGGCTTTTTGCTCTGGATTGTGTTCTTCTGAAGTGTCCCTGACCATGAAGACTCTTCACAGGGATCAAAATGTTCTGTTTGTGAGCCAGAACCAGAGCCTGCTGATTTGAGACTGTATTTAACTCCCTCTTTATCCTTTACTGGTGATACAAACATAAGTTTAATTGGACTAGTGTACTGGACTTGGGAATTTTTAAGACTCTCAAGACAAGTATCAGAATTTATAGGGACATCCATATTTGATGAGTCCTGTACTCTTTTTGATGATGCTGATCGTAACCGTCCTAAGAGAGGGACAACACTGTCACTACTATTGTTCTCTTTGCCTGAGCGATGTTTTTTAGGACTTTGGTCTTTCGCAGTCACAATCTGTGGAGTGACCTGGCTTTGACTTTTCACTTCCATGTGAGATAGTTCATGTCCTTTTTCTGCTGACTGAAAGGCAAGCTTCCCTGTGTTCACACATGAGGACAAAGAAACGTCATTTCTGGATTCTACGTTGGCATCCTTAGCATCTGGATCTTTTGATGACATATGATTGGTGCTAGATGAAGCCTTGTCCTTTTGTGCTTTCTGATTGAAGATGGGTTCAGAGAAACACGCAACAAAGAACATACGTCTGGGCTCTGTGACATAGGAGGAGAACCGCGGTGGAGGGACTATATTTCTCCTTGATCTTCTTGCACCCTCAGAAATGTTAAGCAGATGACACACTCTCCCTTTAATAGCACAAGCTTTCCTTTTACCTGATCTTTCAGCCTCAGTGGTTTCACTTGATGGGGATCCCTTGTGGCTTTTGTCATTTGTAGAACTGCAACCCTCACCACCTTCTTTGCAGGACAAAACACACTGTTTAGCTGAGCTTGTAGCCACTGTATTCACCTGTTTTTGTACACTTGAACTTTGTTGGTCATTGTTGTTCTGTATCTCAGGGGTGCATTTAGGTTTTTCAACATTCTGGCGATGACGGGATCTAGTAACGGGTGACTTGGATTCTTTGTCTTGGCGACTAAACAGCTCACTCAAGCTGTAATCACTGGGACTGCTTGTGCGAAGCACTGTGGTGATGATCTCAGTGACATGGGCATCAGCACGAAAAGGCAGGTTGTAGCTGGTTGAGGGAGATAACGGCTGCTCCTTTTCAGAAACATAGATAGCCGTAGAAACCAGAGTAGGGTCCTTGTCTAGAGGTGTTATTGTCTCCAGTTTCTCACTAAAACGATCCATGACATCCTGCAGTGAAGTCCCACTTGGATTCTTATCAGCCTGACTTCTTTCAGCGATCTTACTTTCAGCATCTTCTGTAGTTGCATTGACATCTGAGGCTTCGTAGCTTGCAGTTACAAAACTCTGTACCATGAGATTAACATCCTCCTCTTGGTGAAGCAGAGAGGGTGGGTTTTCATCACATTTCTTACCGAAATCTGATGGGATTGGGGAAAGAGGGGGAGGAGAGGGACTCTGCTCTCTCTTCAGAACAGGACAAGGAGGGTCTCCATCTCCTACCTCTCCATCTGTTGTTTTCTTGATTTGGAAGCTGCGTTTCTCACAACATATGGAAGAGGACAAGCATAAATTAGAAGAGGGTGTGCAAGGCGAATGGAACGATGCAGGAGAGGCTGCAACAAGACTCTGACACGAAGTGCAATGCAGCTTCTTGGAACATAAAACAGTGTCCCTTTCGTTCCTGAGCATCTCTTTTTCATGGCAAGCATACTTGAGGATTTGGTAGATTAAGGATTGGTGAGCTGGGCAGAGAGAACTCAGAACATCATCCAATGTGGAACATTGACCAAACTTAGTCCCTCGCTGTTGCTGACCTGCCTTGTCTTCTGTGAAAGATGACACCGGGGAGCTAGAGGTAAAAGGTAAAAACTGGAGTTAGAATGTTTTACTCACAAAGTTTCAAATGAGAAAAAAAAAAAAAAAAAGAGCATGCACACAAAATAATGAAGACTAAAAATTTCAGCAGCAAGCACATTTAAGTTGCATTTGTTCCATAACAGCACTGCCTGAAAGTTTGTCATTTCTGACTTCCATATATTTTATAGATGAGACTGGAGTTCGTGCTGGTTGCAAGACTGCACCCGCATTATTAGAGTTAATGTAAAAATGTGATATGCAGCTTAAGATGTAGGCAACATATTGTGATGAAATGATGGTAATGTATCCTTACAGAAATCAATGTTTGAAATAAGCTTAAGAAGAAAAAAAGTTACACAGTAAATTTTTTTGGCAGTAGACTTGCTAGCCATCAATAATGAAATAAAATGAACTCTGAATGGTACAAAACTTTCAGCTTAAATAATAACATTTGGAAAAAAAAAAGTGGAATGTAGCTTGTAGTGCAAGATGTTTTTGTGGTTTATTACACCAGGAAAACGATATTGTAAATGCAGCCTATTTAGCAGCGTTTGCCGTGTAGTTTTTCCCCCAAATGCACTTTCATTTTTGGAGTGCCACTATAATGTTGATGTATTGCAGAAGGAAGTGACATGATGCATTGCTCTACATTGTGTGAATGTGTGTGTGAATGGGTGGATGACAGGTTGTGTAAAGCGCTTTGGGGTCCTTAGGAACTAGAAAAGTGCTATACAAATACAGGCCATTTACCATTTTACCATTTACTGGATTCTAGCCCTTGTAAAAAGTTGTAAAACCTTTGATCTGCAGTACAACTCTCTGATAACTGTAAAGCAAACCATTATTCTAGAAAAAAAAATAACAACAGGCGATTGATTAAAGAACTGTTTTATTGATTAGTTGCTGAAGGCAAATGATAACATTCTGCTAACAGCAGAAGGAATGATTGAAGAAACGCTCAACTTAACTTTTTTTTTTTTTTAAACCAACAGCACTTTCATCAACAAACCAACAGTTCAAAAAGCCCTCTAATTTTCATAACAGCCAGCAGGTCCAAGAAGTAAGATATTTAATTATAGAATCAAGTAACTGATTTAATATCAACCTATTTTCAAGTTTTTACTTTTTCTCTCCAGCAATTTAAATACTGTTTGTGGCCAAACCATGTCAGGTTTCAAGAGGCCAGGTTTAAGTGTTACATTCTGTAGTGTTGAGTCAAGTTTCCACTGCAGGAACTTTTCACTGAAGGAACCAGGGTACAATTACAATTCTGGGGTGTACCTCCAAGAGAGTCCTTGCTCAGGAGGTAGAACAGCAACTTTGGTGGTGGGGTTCAAGCTAAACTTTTCTGACCGACTTGTTAAATAATTTCTTCCAACTACTGGGCAGTTTGCTGTATTGTTGTGTTTAATTTAAAAGCGGTGGTGGTGGGTCTCGAACAGCCATTGCTGTTTCATACATGAGCAGTTTACAGCAATTTCATGTTCTTTGTCTTGTTTGACAGGTTGCTAATTTTCAAAAATAGTGCTTATTCAACATTTAACCTAACAGCATTGAGCCCCACTTGAAGCTTTTCTGGGCAGGAATATCTACCCTCACAAATTAGTCCTACAACTGGAACATATACAAAGGTGTATATGTTGCAAAACCACCTGCCCATCTCCGCCTAGTTTCTGCGGTGGAAACTTTCCAAGTACTTTAGGTGTTACAGAGGCTATATTGTTGAGTTTGTTATGACAAATTATTCTTTAAAATCATTAAAATAATTTAATAGTAACAAAATCACTAAACAATCACAATAGTCAGCAGTATAATTTCTGGACTAAATAAATTATATGAGCTAACATTTAAAAGCATTCATGCAATTGTAGCAATACACATTTCACAATGCATCAAAGTGCCCCGTTACAAATCAAGAACTACCACAATATTTAAAAAAATAAAAATATAAATCACAGTTCTGAAGCGCAATCAATAAATAAATATGCCATAACAACACAAAACAAGTTTCTAGAAAAAAACAATTTTGTTTTATAAATCATAGTGCAATAATTGATTTATGCATAAATAGCAGAATTACGTTGCCTCAAAGATTTGCCAGCAGTTCAATCAAAAATTAAAAAGCCCTAATCTCAAAGCCCAAGTGTGTTCCCAGAATTAGCTGCAATTAAACAAATACAATGATGTCCTTTTTCAATTTCTCAGGGCGTGTTCGGAGTCATTTTGATATAAATAGTAGATAACTCCCAAAATAGAGACATGCTGTGCTGAGCTGTCGCCATAGAGACCGGCACCATGTACCGCAATAAGAACAGACATTCAGAAGTGGAGACAACATTTGCACAGCTGGAGGAATTACAAAGGTTGAAATGCCACAATTTTGTGACTGAAGAACTTTTAAAAACCGACATTAATAACAAAAAAAAAAATAAAAAAAAAAAATCTGTAAATGCCGCAAGACAGAATTTCAACCTTAAAGGAAAAAAAAAAAAAAAAAAAGATTTTACACGCCACATGGCTAGTTTTTTTTAAAAGTTTAAGTGTTGTTGATAGCAGTGAATTTACATTTCGCTGTTTCTTGAGAGATAAAGAACTCATACAGATTTTAAGCTTGATTTGAAACCTAACACTGGGCTATAGGCAGAGAATGTTCAGAGGTATATATGGCAACAGGTTAAAGACGGTGAGAGAGAGGGGGGGGGCTGACATTGCAGCAAATCCAAAGTAAAGCAGCTTTGTGTGGGTAACCCTGAAATGCTGCTTTGGTAGTAGCACTGTTAATGGAAAAAAGCCCATTCTAGAGGCAGACATGAGTGTAGACGAAACTTTTAGCATTTTTACAGACGCAGACAAAGAAGCCTTAAAAGCCTGACACTGAATAGCCGCGTGGTCGCCGTTTAAACATTTCACTAAAAACCTAAACTACCGAAACCTCCAGTAGCTGACACAGTCGACCATCTATAACATTAAGACTACCCATAAAACAAATATTAATATTAGGCTTAACGGTATTACTGTTAAAACGTTAACTGAAATGAGTTTTTCTTGTAGCTACGCATCCATGTGCCAGGAAAACAGTCCCGTAAAAGTTAAGCAGCGGTCATGGTATGAGGTTTGCAGTAATACAGCTACAGTAGCAGAATTAGTAAATATCTGTGATAATAAAAGAACATCTTTCACAAACGGTACAAATACACAATAATATACAGTTCCCAAGCTTATCAGTGCACATTTAAAACATGCTGCACGTTTGCATTCCAACTACACTCAATACAGTGTTTAGATTAGCTTGTACAGAATGAAAGGAAATATGTGGACACAAAATGGCTTTTTTAAGCTAATCTCTTGTACAAAAACTCATAATCAAGATGTAGCCACCACAGCATATATACTGTACAAGCTCCCTGTTTGTAGAGGTCTCTAACAATAGAAATGAGTTTTTAAATAGTTTTAATGGCTCTAAGTCACTTGAAAAGCCTAGGTATACATACCCAGAGAGATAGAAAGCTGCAAATCACAATCATCAATGCTCCATTACCAAGGAGCTTTAAGAATTGAATTAAACCTGAATAACCTAATAACCTAACAGCTAACAAATATGACAGTCACACTTTATTTTTCAGCCTTAAAAGGTCTGCAACTGTGTTTCTCATACTTGAGTCTTGAGCAATCTTTTTGGGCAGCCATCATTGTTTGTTTTTCCTCCTTGAGAAAAGGATGTACAACACAGTACAACTACCCTGAAGGTAAAATAATTTGATTCTATATCACCAACAGATTCTCGTTTTAAAAAAGCCTTTGTTTTTAATTCTGTTGATCAATCGTGGTAGTAAAAATTACTAAGTGATCTAATGTTAAACTATGAATACGTTACATTTTGTTGAACATTAACTTATCGATGATTTAATTAGATGTAATCACATACTGGTATCTTAATAACCAAGCCACGAAACTCCACAGCAGTCCCAAACGGAAAAAAACAAACAAACAAAAAATAGAAAAACAGTATTCTGACAATAGTACAGTGAAACGAAAGGAGATGGTGAATTAAGAGGTTCAGTACCTCAGGCTCTGATCCGAATTCATTTACCACGTTGATCTATCCATAAACAAAGTAAACGATCTAAATCATTCGTCTAGATCAAGATGAGCAGGACTTCTACCTGAATAAAACAGTACTGTTTATGGCTGCTTTAACCAAAGGACTCAGAACGAAGCAGGAGAAATACAGCTTTAAGTATGACTATCACATCACAGACAGAGTTAAAAGACCTGAATATTAATATCAGTGTAGTTTGTAAAGGCATGTGTTGTGTTTTAACAAGTGTCTCCAGAAAACATTTATCTTGTAGGAGGTGATGTGTTCAAGTGTTGAGGTGTTTTTGAGGCGTTTGTGGTCTAGAACCTCTTTGCGTCAGCAGCTGAGGCAAGACTCCCTGAGTTAGTGGAACTGGTCGTGCTACCAGAACCAGACGAGTGAGAACTGGACAAACAGAAGTTGGCAGATTTCTTCTTAGGTGGGTTCTTCAGTGTTCCAGTACGCTCTTTCACTTTGTATTCTAGTGTGCTATGGGGCACCCCATAAACCCCCTGGGCTTTAGACACACTCATGCGACCAGCCATCACCATGGTGATGGCCTCCTCCATCAGTTCGTGGTCATACTGGCGGTACCTCCCACGCTTCTTTCTAGGTTGCTTGTCTTTATCCCGGCAACCTGCCCCATCTTCTGACTCATCCAGTGAGGATCCACGTGGTCCCAGGCGATGAGGTGACTGGCTGGCACTGCCTGGACATCCTTGTGCCAAGAGTGGAGGTCTGAGTTTGAAGAGAGATGAAGGTCTGGCAGCTGCTGTTGATGAACTGGCAGTACCTTCGCTTGATGAGGTACGTTGATGTAGGTTTTCAGCTATGCTGCAATTCTCAGCTGACACTGACCTTTTGTGGTCAGACGCACAACGAACCTGAGGAATACGCAGGGGTGTGGGTGGCTCCAGACTGGGGGTGGGGCTTGGAGGGGGCTGGAGAGCATCCCTGAGCTGGGGAAAACAGTGAGGGAGGGTCTTCTGTAAACTACCCGGCTGATAAAAGGCAAGAACAGATGAAGGGAAACTAAAGTCCCCATGCTCCTCGACAGCACCTCCAATTTCTGCTCGCTCTGCCCATGCTGCCACTTTCTGCAAAACAAGGCGTGCTTCGCCACCCAGCATTGTTGACATCACATTGCATGATGTCACTTCATCCCTGATATCTCTGCTTCCTGCTTTAAGCTGATGCAGCACTCCCAGCCTCCCTTCAGCCCAGCCATCCAGACCCTGTCTCAGGGTTTGAAGGGGTATTCCATAAAGCAACGCAGCCCGCTGCTCCTGCAGCCTTCCTGATCGTATATCCTTCAAGGCCTTGGACAGCAATCCCTCAGACAGCTCCCAGCTCCTCTCAGTGTATTCCTTCTGCCTGCACTGCCTCCTAGGGATGTGAGGACCAAACAGCAGGGTCAGGATGGAGGTGATGGAGGTGGTTTGATTTGTGGCATAGGGGACAAGGGGGTGCAGAGCGAGGGGTCCACTCCTTTATGCCTTGTGTTGGTAACATCACTGCGACTGTTAGTTTCATGTCTGTATGTTCTCAGTCTGTTTGTGGGCCCTCACACGCACGCACACACACTAGCCTCTTCACGTCCAGGTGGGACAGTCTGTGAATGGCTGGGGTTACTTTGGTGCTCACATAAAACCCCTGTAGTTTTGGGATATCCAGTGAAAGTCCTACATGCTTGAAGATTGGATAATCAAACTCATCATTAATGTATTAGTAAAAACGGACGTAAAATGGTTGTGAAGTACTGAAATGCTCTCCTCATTATACAATCCTGAGCTGCTGGCAAATGTTATAATACGGCCATTGCTGTGACGTTACCGCTCAAGAGATAAAAGAGTAAACCCCATAGAACCACAACACCAAACACAAGCTAGCTCCTCACAATTTATTACAATTACTTGAACCAAAGCACTGCTAAAACAGGAATGTGTATATTTCAGGCTGAACAGGTGCTATTTAGCTGAGCAGTGAGCATGACAGTAATAAACACAGTGCTCATGCTAACCTCTTAATCTTTGGCATGCTATATAGCTGTTGTTGTACCACACTCTGAAATGTGGATTTGCTGCAAACCAAAGTGATTTTTCTAGTCATAGGATATGGGCCATAGTTATGTAAACGGCATTCTCGTTTTTGTGAAGAAGACCCAGATTTAACTAAGAGTAGGGATAAGTCAATAGGCCAGACACATTAAAATGCAGTCAGAGAACTACAAAAACTTACCCTGATCCCCTGTGATTCTCTGATGATGACGAAGTTGTTGAGCAGGCAGAGTTCCGGTTGGAGAGGTCCAGCACACCATCTGTTACAAGACAAGTGGTCAGAGTCTGAGTGCCAGTTGTTTGGTTCCTTCAGGAGGATGCCCATGTTACAGTCAGACATAACATTAAATTTTATATGCGTGCACTAAATGCGTTCTCTACCTTCGATCGTGTTCTCCTCCTGAGTTCGGTTCACTGTGAGGTCCAGAGGGGCGTCAGATGCTTCGGACGCGTCAGACAAGGGTGATGAGGTCCTTGTGACACCATTTGTATTGGTGTGGAGCAGGCACTTGGATGCATACTCCTTAGCAAATGTGGTTATCATCTTCTTCATCAGCTCCTGAGCAATCTGAGGTATGTTGGAATCACTGCTCAGGCGCACATCTAACAGGAGGAGAAAGGAAAAAAAATACAATTAAAATCACTGGTTTCAATTTTAACATGCATTATTTAAAGGACTAGAAAACTGATCTGAAAAACTGATCTAGAAAACAGTGTTTAAACAGCGTTTTTAATGAGATATTGAAATTAAATCCACTGTAACAAAAAATGTCTTCTGATGTTACCACACTAGAAACAAGTCTCAAAAGCATCCTAAATCTTTGGGAACACTTAGTGGGTCATGAATAGCAGAGATTTGACATGGCAATTACACCACAGTAACCGCAATGTGTATTAGGTCAATAATGTAATTCAGTTCATTGTGTACATCAGTAGACAGGAACTGTGAGATACTCCTCTCTGGTTATTCCCCACATTAATATTTATGTCAACTTTGGCAGCTGTTTTCAGTATAGGAGCTCTTAGTATATTAACAGTTCTACATAACAACGAGGTTGTCCAAATCCACCTGACTCACCTTTCTTGTGGAACACAGCTTGGAGGAACTTGTGTGCTGATTGGGTGCTCTCAGAGATGGTTGGGGCCCGACAAGGTGAGTAATCAGAGGGGGAGGAGAGGGGCGACGTGGCTGCAGGTGCTTGATCCTAGAGAGGATGATAAAGAGGAAAAAGAAGAAGATACAGAGACAGAAAGGTGATTACTTATTTAGAATTATTTTTTACTCTAGGGTGCAGAGAAAAGAAAGACAACCTCTCTGAGGCTTATCAAAACTAAAGTCCTTACACTAGATTTGTCCAGGAGCACGTTGCAGAAAGAGCACGGAGAGCAGTTTGATTCTGGAGACCAGTCATCTACCTCTTCCGGTTCACAGTCTGAAAGACACAATATCGCATAACCATGTATTACAGTACTGCTGATGGATCAAACCAAAACTGACAACAGGCAGCAGGGGTTTCTATTCTGTTTCCTTATACCAGCCACTTCAAATGCTGCTGACACAATACTAATCTCATTATGAGCCACGCTATCATATATAGACAATACACACGGAAGAATGACTAGAGTTTTTCCATAAGTGGCATCTAAAAATCAATTAGCTGCTAATGTTGATTTCAATAGAATGGTTTTGATTAACAGTTTATCATGCTTGTCTTTTTTATAACCAGTTAAAGTGACCGTCACTCCTGCCTCAATGAACTCTACATAACTGTTTAACACCCCCCTTTTTTAAGGCGACAAAATACACTGAACAAGAACTGCTTTTACAGCTACTCTCAACCAGAACGTTTGTTGCAGTAGCTCATCTATTGCAGATCAGTGCCTGTAAAATGACAAATGTGACCCTGAACACAAACTGTGTGAAGCCCACAATCAGTTTGATTTAATTCCAACTAATACTGTAGAAGGTGTAGTGAATCGTGTGAATGCGGACAGCAGAGGTGGGTAGTAACGAGTTACATTTACTCCGTACCTTTTTCGCACAATACTTTTTACTTTTACTTGAGTACATTTGTGAAGAAGAAACTGTACTTTTACTCCACTACATTTGCAAAATTCGACTCGTTACTTTTTAAAAAAATACTTAGTTTAACACATTAGATAACATGCCGCCAGTGGAGTTTCCAGTAAATTTTTTACCAATCAGATGTGGCCATGCAGTCACATGACCAGTTTGAAACTGTGGCGGGCAGAGCGGCCCGAGCGTTTCAAAGTAGCGGACACACGGAAAGAAGAAACACATGAAAACATGGCAGAGCCAACTGTCTACGCTAGAGCTGAAGAGGATGAACACCCTTGGCCTCATATACAAAGAATGTTTTGCTTAAAAGCAATACAATATATATATATATAAATATTATATATATATATATATATATATATATATATATATATATATATATAAATATTATATTGCACGAACGTGATAATTATATTGTATGAACATGATAATTATGTATACTGTAATAACGTGATATTATATTGTTCAAACGTGAAAGGTATATTGCACTAACATGAAAAGTATATTGTTAGAACAATAAACTTTTCAGGTTATAACGTGATATAGCTGTATTTTTCTTTTGCCTGGGTGGCAGCTCTACGCTTACGTACTCGGATGAGCTTGTCACAGTTCTACAAGTTGTGCCTCCATCTCGTGTCCATATCAAACGCTGCTCCGCCTTTTCACTTTCATTTCTGTGTTTGTGCATGCGCAGTTTGAGTCAGATTTTTGAGCGCTGTGTACCACATAAAATTGGTTCAAGGTCAGTAAGCACAACCGGAATTAATAATTAAGGCACACTGAGGATCTTTGAGAAAATTAAAGGATTTTAAGTATGCCTTATAGTGTGGAAAATAAATTATTAAGGGTGGCAGTAAAAAAAATGTTGCACAGTGGTGTTGCGCTGTCTTATCATTCATTTAAGATAGATTTTTTTCCCACCCTGATCTTGTCTCAAATGAATGCCTCACTGAACAAATCATCCACCCAGCCAGGAGTCTATCACGTCATCTGACTAGGTTCCAGTGTAGCCTAACTCAAACTCCAGATGACACTGCAGACTTCAATGAGATCCCAGACAGTGTCAAGCAAGCTGTATGTTTTGGCTGCTGGTGTCCACAGAGTGCTAGAGGGATGTGAAGGCATGATCGAAGCTAATAAAGGCATCAGAGAGACAGAAAGTAAGACTTTCTTTAGTTTTTTCAGGGATCTACCAAATTCTGGTGTTTTAGGTTAGATTTATTTGACTTCCAGGTTCGATATTGTGCTCCTTCCTGATATAAGTACAAAGGGTAGTGGCACCATGGGTATGTTTTATGGTGTAACTGCTTGCTTTATATACTGCAAATATTTTGTGAAGACCTTTGTTCTTGTGAGGCTGACATACTGGTGGTGCCTTGGAGCACACCGTAAAGAGTGACGGAAGTTTCCAGGGCGTGGGGGCTTTTGTGACGCTGAGGTTGTTATGTGACTGCAGAATTTTAGCAGGTGAGAAATGGGTCACACATAAACACATGGCAAAGGCAAAGAAGATTAAATTTCAGCTGATACATTACAGTTTACTCAACATGGTTTTGGGAGCTCTGGAGACTCTACTTTTCAGCATACTGTACAGTCATCTGACACAGAAATGGACTCTATCTCCTCAGGGCTCAGTTTTAGGCTTTTGAAAATCTAGTCCCTGATTACTCCTACCACAGCTTTAGGTCTAACAAAATATTGAAATTAGAATACCAGAAAATATTTAGACTTGCCTCTAGGATCAGTGAAACTGTATCATAATTTGTTAACAATGGTTGTTAAATAATCTAATAATGAAATCTGCTGTGCTTTCTCTCGAGGTAGCATAGAGCATATATATGTAAAATTATGAGTTAAAGAGGAGGTGGACTGCTTTTAAATGAGCAGGAAAAGAATCGTTTTTGCTATTTTTGAGTCCTACTTAAAAACAATATACGGTTAAAATTACAGTCAAATGGGAAGTACAAGTATGAATCATACTGAATACGTAGTTTCTGATTCAACTACTTAAATAACGTAATGAATACCAATCAATAGCTAAGTAAATCCCACAACAAATGCTAATCGTTTTTAGTTTAAAAGCCTTAATATTGGTGACACATGTTTGAGGTCTGATATTATAAGAATAGATATGGGACAGCGTTGGGAAGACAAAAGGCATGGCAAGAATAATGATTTGTTTGTTTGGCAATATCATCGCTTATGCTGAAAATAAATGTACAGTCCTCTTATAGTCACAAGCCAATGGTAAAGAGCATATACAACCAACAACCCACCATGAAATAAATTGAGGTCTCTCGGCAGCGGGCCATAAATTCCCTCCAGAATGCTTTCAAACCCTGCAAGACAAAAATGGGAGCAATCCATCAGTGCTGATACGAACAAGTGCATGGTTTAGGGCTCCAAGATCTGAGAAAAATCTGCTCTCAAAACTGTTTACTATGTTGTCATTTTCAGGAAGACAGAACAATTTAGATGTTTACAATGAACTCTTTATAAACCTTGAAAAACACACATACATGATTACATGTAGGATGCCATTGTCACAACAGTTTAGATCAGAGGTGTCAAACATGCAGTGTGAATATTACCGTGAAGTTATTACTCCCATTTAAAATTTCCTGGTGTGGTGTTAACAGCATTATTTCACAGGAATTAAAATGTAACTGTAGATACAGGCAATTTCTTTAAATCACAAAAACAAATGTAAAGGTTTATTTTGTGCCTTTTTAACTGTGATACATACAATACCAGACGATGCAAAGAACATCGAGAAATGCTGAAACTACATCAATCATCATATTTGCAAAATGACCAAAATAATTTGATGTCTGACAAAATTTTACGGGAGTCTTCTATATTTTGGGTGATGTCAGTTTTTTGCTTTGTTTAAAAAAAAAAATTAAAAAAAAGATCGAGTTTTTTTGTGACCAAATGGACAGTGGTCTTATAAATCCGGCCGACTTGAGACCGGACTGGACCGTATATGGTTCATTAGCTAAAACGAGTTTGACACCCCTTGTTTAGACGTTATACACAGTAGGAAACTGACTTACGAATAGGTGCGCCAGCCTTATGCTAACATCACCAGCTGCTGTAGCATTAAAAACTACGTTCAAATTAGAAGAGAGCCCGAGAAAAACCGTTACCGGACACCACTGAAATGAATGCTTTCCTGGCATTGCACTGACATTAGCTTACTTAACGTAACAACAACATCCTCCCGAAATAACAACAGCTTTTAGCTAAGCACTGCTATAGCATAGCCATCGAACAATAAACAATTATAACTGTATGTTACTAATATAACTGATTGTGTTATGGTACACCGATAGATAAAATTACATATCTTGGTTGGGCATATGCATTATATCTTATTGGTTACAATCCAATTTAAGACAGAAATGAAACGACCCAAGAAAGCGCTAACGCCGGCGAAGGGCTAGCAAGCGCAGACAAAAGGAGCTAGCTAAGCAGCTGTCTTGGCTTAACTGAACACTAAAAGCAGCCACATCAGTAGCTGCTAGTTAGCTAGGAACCAACACAGCTCGGGTAGCGATCCCTCTGTTGCCGGACAAAACCATTCACTACATGTTTTATTTTTTTACAAAATACTAAACTGCATATGAACCATACCGACGCAGTGTATCAATTTGTAACGCCAAGAATCAAGTTCCCGCCGAAACAACTTCTTTTCTGCCATGCATCTACACTGCAGCGTCGTCATTCTTCGTCCTCTGCCCCTCTTTCTCCCCTGTTTGCGTTACAGCCGCTGTGTATTGTAACCGCTGCGGTGCATTTGTCGCCGCTACCCGATCCGTACCTGAAACCCAATCCGACCACGCATGCGCGAACCTTACCTCACTTCCTCTCTTTGCCAACATTTCCTGGAGCACGATTAAAAAAACAAAATTTAAAAATGACCGTTGTTGTAACGCAAACAAATTACCAACATGATCAGTGCAAGCAGACTAGATGATTCATAGAATTATGAAATTACTAACGGCAAATTTATATATGAAAGACTCTGTCCCAACCCTTTACGATCCAAGGTTTCCACTGTATGCAGCCTACTGTGGAGGTCACAAAATATGGCGCTCCAGAGCGGCTGCAGCCAGACCCTTCTCAACATTTTCTGAAGAGTTGGTTCCCTTTCTTCTTGAGTATTTTGCAGAAAGCATAGGAAACCAACAACTTCCCAGTACAATGCATCAAGGTTTGACCAGGTTGATTCCAAAGCCTAATAAGGAACTATTAATATTGATAATTGGAGACCAACTAGCTTATTAAATAACGATTATAAAGCATTTGCTCTAATTTTAGCTAGTAGACTTAAGATGGTTCTTGACTCGGTTATTGATGAAACACAATCTGGCTTCCTGCCCAAAAGACACATAACTATATCAGATTGGTTTTAGATATTCTGGATTATTCTGACCTAATAAATAGCAATGGATTCATATTATTTTTAGAATTCCACAAGGCCTTCAATACAGTGGAGCATGAATTTATATTTCAAGCTCGAGATAAATATGGTTTTGGTACTTACTTCTCTTCAGTGATTATACAATAACAGTAACAACAGTATTAAATTAACAAATGGTACTTCACCCAGATTTAACATAGAAAGAGGGATAAGACAAGGCTGTCCCATTTCTCCATACCTTTTTTTGTTAATTGCCCAACTGTTGTCTAGTCATATGAAGTCAAGCAATATAGAAGGTATATGCTAATTGGCAAAGATTTACTCATAACACAGTTAGCAGATGACACCACATTATTCCTAAAAGATGAACATCAAATATCTATTGCTGTTGAAACAATCTCCACGTTTCCCAAAGCTTCTGGACTGTACTTGAATATTCCTAAATGTGAACTTATGGCAATAAAAGAATGTTCGAAAACAGCTTTGTGTAACATTCCAATAAAACAAGAAGTTCGCTATTTAGGTATTCTAATAACCAAAAACCAGGAAAGAAGAATTACTCAAAATTTCTATCCTATTCTAGAGAAACTCAAAAACAGATTTACTCAGTGACTCTTAAGAGATTTATCATTAAAAGGTAGAGTATTAATAACTAAAGTAGAAGGCATCTCTCGTCTTACATACGCAACATTGGCATTGCACCTCGATAATAAACTCATAAAAGAGTATTGATAAGTTACTCTTCAACTTTATTTGGGCGGGTGCATTACCACCACCTATTGGAAGTATGAATGAGGTGTGCGTTGAAGATCCTGTGGACCGGGGCCTCTGCCACTCGTTCACAGCACACCCTCACTATACATTTAGGTGCACCAGGTCTGTCCAGCATCCTCCTCTGCAATCTGATCCAACTCACCACCAGGTGGTGAATTGAGAGGTCAGCCCCTCTCTTTACCCGAGTCTCCAGAAAATGTGGAGTGGTAGTATGCAGAGGAATGAGAGGTCACAGAGGTCACATATCATTCAACCAGGCAAATGATTGTTTGTTCAATTGAACAAATTGTTTACAGTGGCAAACATATGTAGGCATTTATAGATAGAAACTTTATCGAGAGTCTCTCTTGCATTAAAAAACACTAAGGGACAATCACAATGTGATTACAATATTTCAAACCACTTATTTAAGTGTCATTTACTTTATCATTTACTTAGCTAAACAAAAATGTATTTAAAACTGTGTTTCGCAAATCAGTTAAAAATGCAGACCAGATGATTGTCTACTGACCAATCAGTTCTCTGGAAAATAGAGTCACCATTTTCTGGAAGATCCCTCAGACCTCTGTATGCCGATGCTGCCACTGTCACCCCTTTCCTGTCCAACACGGTGTGGGATTGCGTGACTGCTTATCCCGACGTCCAGTGTTAGGGTAAATTAATCCAGAAATTAATCCAGAACGATACCCTGGATATGCTGAACTTGTGTCATAGTAAAGGCTTCAGGATATAGAGTGACAAAACAAAAAGTGAACTTAATTTAAAGTAAAAAAAAACAAAAGGAGAAAGAATGCAAAGGTTCAACAATGACACAAACAACCCATGCACAGGAATATAGTACACATACACAAGGAGCATTCGAGGAACAACAGAAAACCAACAAAGCAAAGAGGGGGAGAGAGGGCTGACCAAGGAAGTGATAACCGAAAGGGACATAATGTACATAATCAAGACAATCACGAGGGAGAAGTAAAACTCAAGGCACAAGCAGCTGTAAAGATCCAAGTAAAACCAGAAACAACAAGATAAAATACACAGACAAGAAAATCACAGTGATAAATACAAAGGACCATTAAGAAGTCTCAAAACCATGAGGCAGTGATGTCCCAACATGGAAATGCACTACTACAATACTGAAACCACAGCAGTGACAGAAGATAAAACCACACAAAAATCTACACCAAAACACAATAATCGATACCTGATATGTAAGAAGACAGAAACTCCCTAAAAGAATGTGAAACTCAGACACGACAAGTCAGACACAAGCTTAAAAGCATGCCCGATATCAGGCACCACACAATTCTGTTAAGTAAGCAAACACAGACTCCTTGCCTGAACTACATGTGGACCATTTGTGCTTATAAGAATAATCAGCTCACAACAGCCCCACTCTGAGCAGGAAAACCCCTGACATTAAAACATTTGATGTGCCACAGTCAAAGGTCAGATATGTGATTTTTGATTTAGTGAGAGTAAAAAAGGAATACGTGGCATACTCGACTATTTTAAAAGTCTATTTAAACTCCTAAAATTAAACTCAAATCATTGAATTAATAGCTTGTGATTTCATAAATATATTCGCTGTGATGTTTTTTGTTTTTTTAAATATCGGAACAATTCTGCACACAGCATCTGGTGTTTGGCATGACTAAGAAGGATGCGCGACACACCACAGAGTAGTTTTTGTGCAGATTTGACATAAAATGCAGACCAAAGCTGTGTGGTTACTTACTCACAGCACATTTAATGGAGACATTGTTAATGCTAAAATATACCTAACATTGAGTGTTATGCAGCTGTACTGTATAATGCAGCGCTATTGCAAGGGAGTAAATATTACCCTTGAAAGAGGAAGAAAATGAAACTACACACCACCTGTTTTATCCGAGTTACATATCACATATCTGTACAAAATGAGATCGTATATAAGGATTTAACCACTGCCAAACAGCAGCTTGACACTTTCACAGTTTCACTTTAACAGCAGTGAAACTGCAGCAGCGACTGTAGAGTTGCGCACTGTTAAAGTTCACCTCATTGAGCACAGAAGATGCACAGGTCCTGTTGGGGGCCTGGACTCAAGCCCAGGTGGTCTGTGTGTGATTGGATCTATTGCTTAAGCCAATGAAATAAAAAAAAATCAAACTGTTTAAAAACTGTAATTTCTCATGCTGTGATCTGGTTGAAGACATTACCAGTTGTATAACAAACACAGCTGGTGGAGAGAGAGTCTATAGCTGCCGTGTGAATATGAAGCAGACTTATAACCTTGATTTTGAAGCTAAAGTATAACAACACAGATGGGAAATGCTGAATCATAATTGAATGGAAATTAATGTATATTGCATTGATTACTTATTCTATGAAGCTCGTGATCATTGCTTCTGTTTAATATCCTGTTATAAGGTAGTTTTTTAAAAAATATTCTCTTCCATGAATTTCAATAACATCTGAATGAGAACGGCTTACTTTGTTTTGTGTTTATGTTTTCTGAACATTGATTGCATGTATATGTGCGACCGCAAAGGTAGCTGCTAATGGGGATTGTAATAAAGCAGAAAATCCAAACAAATGCAAATATTCTCACTATCCTCAGTGTCATCACACTCGTCACAGTCAGAGTGACCGCATGAGGGCAGCAGAGCGCTTTCAGGATGTGAGGGTTAGGCGCACTGTACACAGGACATGTTTGGATTAGCAGAGTCGAGTGAATTCACCATTATTATTCATCGTGATTACAGAATTCTATTATCTGACACTTTATAAATATAGTTTATTTATTTACATCCAGCTGCGGCTGTTCTGTCAACAGGGGAATCAAGCTGCGGACGTTAAAGAGGCCCAAAAGCCCCAGTTTCACTGTGTCACTTTTGAAAATTGTAATTAATTGCAAATCTGATGGGATTACATGCCACTAAGGCACATCGTGCTCCTAAATCACTGACTTAAAGGTATATTTGTACAGTCTGAGGGGATGAAGGATGTATGCAATAAAAATAAATAAATAAAGGATTTTGCTTTTTTTCTGTGTGTTTCTCCATCTACACTGTCTTAAGTAATGCGCAAAGAATGCAGGGCCTGCCTTTGCTGAAACCTTTTGCTTCTCTCAGGGTCCCCTGATAGGTTAATCCAAACCAATAATGGGGAACCCCAGAAGGTATGTGAACAACAAGGGCAATCAAATGGGCTCGTGGAAAGAGACTGTGGCGGGGACAGAGCGGGGAGGCCGACTAGAGGACATATGAAATAGTTATGAAGAGCGATGGAGGGCTGTAGAGCAAACGGGGAGACGTGATTGAATGGTGAGCGTGGAGGAGGCACAAGTGTCACAAGCCCAGGTGGAATTCGTTGTCACGGTGACTTAGGGCGCTGTTGCTGTGGAGATGGCGATGAAAGACGGCAGTCTGGTGAATGGCATTTCTGGGCCGGAGCGTGACCAACAGCATACAGCCCCGTGTGCCCTGAGGGGGGGCGGCAGAGATGATCGTGTGCAGGGTCACCACATTGCTGTGGCTATGTGCGCTTTACTTTCAAGCACCCATGCATCACAGTGCGTGCACGTGAGTGTGTGTTTTAATGCCGGCGTGTATGTTGTGTGTCAGTGTAGTACACTGTATCT